GCTACGGCAGGCGGGCGGGCAACCGCTCCCGCTCCCCGTTCCGGCGCTCGGCCCGGCCCAGCCCGGCCGGGTGGGGCGGGGCGGGGCGCAGCCCGGCACACCTACGCGCCCCGGGACTGCCCCCTTCCTTCGTTCCTCTCTGAGCTCCCTCTCCAGCCCCGCTGCCCGTGCTGCCGCCCTACCTGGGCTGCGGTGCGGTGCTGCGGGCGAGGGCCTCCCGGCGGCACCTGAGCTGCGGGGCGGCTCTTCCCTCCGGCGCCTCCGGCGCGCTGGTGGCGGCTCCCAGCGGTACGGCGGCGGTCCCCTCGGTCTCTCCTCCCCTAGGCGCGGGGCTGACCTGCCGGTGACTCACCGCGGCGCGCGGCTCGGCTGTCGGCGGGGGGGAAGGAGGGAAAGGGCTCCCGCACGTGTGGATGGCGCTCCCCGTTCCTTTCCCTGCGGGGACGGGGACTACGTCCGAGGGATGAGAAAATCGCACGCAAGAGGGAGGGAGGGAAGGCCGAGGCACCTGCGCTCCTTGTCCCGGCCCCGCACGGCGGCAAAAGAGCTGAGCCCCCACCGACCGCGTCGTGGCGTCAACGCCCGAGAGGCTGTCGAGCTGCCTCTCGGTGTAACTGGCCTCACTGCGCACAAGCGCGCAGCACCGAGCTGCCTCCTCACGTCATCCCCCAGGCTCCGAGCCCGGCGCTGGGGCTCTCCCTCCATGCCCACGAGGTGTCTCCCACAGGTGCTGAGAAACTGAGACATGGAGAGAGGCCAACAGCCTGGCCCTCACTCAAGAGCCATCTCCCCGGGCTGATGGGTTTCAGCAGCTCCTGATTTAAAGCAGATTTTTAGCAAAGGGCTTCATGTTCTGATAGAAGTTATTGGAGACATCTATTTTCATTCCTCATGTTTCCTTTTTTGGCCCCGTTTCTCCTTCCCTTAATCACACCGTTTGGACCGTTGAATGTTTTGGATGAGTAAAGTGAGAGGAACTGCACGAAGCGGTGCCCAGTTCCATGATTAACCATGGGAAAAATGTCAGCCCTTCCTTCAAAATGTTGTGAAAGGGAAATCAAATAAAGCATCGCATGTGTTTGCTGTAGGCCCAGGCTGTCCGTGTGACGTGTGTGTGCACAGAGCTGCACATCAGCACGGTGCTTTCAGCAGCAGCGAGCCACCCTGCCACCAATCTGCTGCAGCAGCACTCGCAGTTTGTCTGTCTCCTTTTCCTATGAGCTTTTGGCAATGGTGATAAAGATGTGGAACGAAGCTATAAACTAATTTATAACTAATTTATACTAAACTTATCTGCAAAGGCAAACATGTAATTGAGACAGTGTGTAACCTTTTACATGTTTAAGTTGTGAAATCCTTCCTGCTCAGTATCTGTTACTGACAACAGATAGCAAAAAGAGCACGTGGCAATAAAAGTGGTGCAGTGCCTAACAGGAGGGATGTGCTTCCTGTCTTCTTGTCCACTGTGAGTTAGCAACACAGAAAAGCTACACCCAGAGAAAACAAAGCCTGTCTCTTCGATGCCCTGAGAGCTGAAATTGCTAACAAGTAACCAGTGAGGCAATGTTCCCAGCGATGCCATCCTGTTGTTTGGAGGCACTGGGAACCTGTCCATGCTTTGGTGACCTTTACTTCCATTAATACTCAACAGTAGTCAGAGAAGGAAGGCTGAGAAGCAGAATGTCAGCCCGTGGTGGGAAATGCACGGCTGCATAGTACTGCTCACTGGGTTTTGATTCCTGATCAAGTCGTTAGTGTGCATCCATAGTGTTACACCAAATTTGGATGAATCCCTCGTCTTGCTTTTGAAAGAATGGGGTAAAGAAACAGCTCTCTGCCTGGTGTCCACCCCACAAGGACAGCCCCTCTGCTCCCAGCACTGACACACCTGCCTGGGCTGGGCAGCCAGCGCCCAGCCCTTACCAGTGGGACAGCCAGTGTTATTCTGCAGCTAACAAATGGATTGTCACTCATGTACAAGGGAGAAACAGATGTTTCCTTTCCATTCTGACCATGCTTGTGCCATGTTATTTTAGCTTCGCTGCATGAGAGAGCCACACTGCAGCAGGGCTCTGATAATCCTCCCTTTACTATTCCTGCAGTGGTATGTATGCACCATGAGCAGTTTCTTGGAGGCTCGAGGCATCTTCAAGGCTCAGGTGAAGCAGTCACTCTGCTACTTCCCTATTCACCACTGTGCTTTCACCACAACTTTTCCTCATGCCTGTCTCTAAGGACTGGTCATCTGCACACTACTAAGAATGCTGGCAGAAGTAGCAGTTGTGGCACAGTTCAGAAAGATGATGGCACTGGAAGAAAGCAATTCAAAAGTGTAAAGGAGCATCAGCCGACGTGATGTGTTCAGCAGAGAGCCAGAGCTCACCCGTGGGAGTCTGGGCACATGCTGCTCATGTGATTAGAGATAGGGAGCTGAGGAGTACAACAACTTGTCCAACAAAAGAGACATACAGTTAGAGACATGAATTGTAAGGCTATGCTTACATGATCTCTCAGATGCAAGGAGGAAGGAGAAAACAGTGCAATTTATACTTCAGTGCATTAGCAATAGTACACCAGGAACTTAATAAGAGGACAGATTCAGTCCAGCAGGTCTGATTATGACCGAATATCTTACTCAGAGCTTAAGATTTGGTTATCTTAAGAGCAGGTGGTAAGATGGAGTATAACATCCAGACTCACCTTGGTACTCAATTTTTATTTAATTTAAATAAGGACAAGATATTTGACTGTCTCTCTGAATCTGGACTTATCCCCCTTTTTTAAACCAATCATTTATTAAAAAAATGCATTTATGTAGAACCAAATCACGCTATATGGCACCACATCTATACAGCACTATCAGCATGTTCAGTCTTTGCCCTCTGCTGCCATCACTCACACCTCTGGAAGCGAATATAAAATGTAAATGTCATTGTGAGACTCCAGAGACTTCTAACTTAGCAGGGCTTTCTCATGGGTAAATGATTTCACCAGGAGCACGACAGTGGGAATGAATCAATTTAAAGCTTAAGAATATGGGAGAAAATCACTAGAGCTGAGCTGAGTGGTGGGTATCAGGCAGCCTCCTGCAGCAGCACCCTTCAAGGTGCAAAAATGAGCCTTAGGTGACTGCACTGATCCCAACTGCCCTACAGAACAGTGATCTGTAGCCAGCCTGTGGGGTGATGTGGGACTGTCATAGCTGCAGCCCTTCACTCAGTTCAAGGCAGCCTGGTGAAGCTCCAGGGCAGCTCTGGGGAGGAGTTGTACCTGAGGCAACTTTTCCTCCAATTATTTCATCACTTCAAGTCAGTCTGATATAATCTATCCTTAGCTTCAGTACTTCCTGGGCTTAAAACCCCCACGTGGGCAGGGCACTGGAGGAAGCACGACCACAGCTCAGAGTGGGACAAGAGCACCTACCAAATAAAGTGTCACAACTGACACTTTGAAGTGTAGTTTCCGAAGATTTGGTTATCCCTGCGCTTCATGCTTATTTATTTAATTATTATTTAGGTATTTATTAACTAAGCCCATGGATAATGAAAGCTTAGTAAGTATTGCATGTTTGTCTGTGAGAGGATCAACAGTGGCACTAGAAGAATTTCAGCCTGCAGTTGAGGGCTGCAGATGTCCCCAGGTGGAAACCCTCATCTCTGGCCACTGAGTTACCCTGGGCAGGTCTGACTGGTATGGAATCACCAGGCTGAGATTAAGATCGTAGCTGAGCACATTCCCACCTGTGGTTTCTTTTCTGCATTTACTGATGGAGCAAACGGAAACACTTATTTTTGTGGTGATGTTTATTCTCTTTGTTTATCCTTCTGGATTTAACGTTCCTACTGAACACCACAACTGAGTGAATCCCAAACCCGAGCAGTGCAGGCATCAGCGAAGCTGAGAAGAGAGGAAAGTATGACTGTGGTCACTGCACGTGAAGACTACATGGCCAGGGGTCTGCCCACTGCTGTACCAGCCCCAGGGCTCGATGAGCATGTGGGCAGCTGGTACACAGAGTTCAGGAATCCAGGAGAAATTAATCACTTGAAAGAACAAAGATTATTTTACAGGCAGATCAGCTCCTTCCATGCATCTGCTATGAGTAACATGAGTGCTAGTGCTTGCAAAGGGATGGGGTCAGGGACCATGGAGGAGGGTGGGCTCGCAGCAGCCGAGATTTATATGCATTTAAAGCGTGGTGGCTCCTCGCCCTCTGGAAAGCAGCAGGGAGCTGGGAGGAGATGGTGTGGATTGCAGCCCCGCTCCCACTTCGGCTGTGCTTCCCTTCCAAGCTATGTTGAAACACATTAAATCCTGGAATGAGTATCTTTGAGTGTACAAAACCAAGAAATCATTTAATGGATGATAAGCTATATCCTTTATGATTTTATGCTCACATCCCTGAAATGGATTCAGCTGCAGTAGCCCTCGGTGCCTTTGGAGAGCTCAAACAGCAGGAGAGAAGGCTTTCAAGCCTTTTTCAAGACTTTTCCAGCATGTGAACTGTTTCAGACAGACGAGGCAAAAATCCTAAACCTATATCATACATGTACCACTCTGGTAGCTCATTTGTTTATTTAACTGGAAACAAACCCTATGATAGTCAAAAGCAAGATGTTTACACAGTGAGGAATTTGCTATCAGATTCGTATTTTCAGCATTATTACGCATTCAGTTGTCTTTAAAAAGTCTGATAACTGTTTCTGAACATACTTTTCAGTAGATTTTTAATAAATTCCCTCCTTATTTTGACATAGCACTTGTAGTAAAATCACTGCTTGTGCCATTTCCAGCATTGCAGGATTTTCTGTGCACTGGCTGCTAGAAAGTTTCCATGAGCTTCCTTTCATCCTGACTGCTGTGACTGCAGCACAGCGTTTTCGGGTTTTTTTTTCCCTTTGCTTTGCCGTTTGTGTTTACAAAGGTCACAGCAGACAGATCATTGACCAGGCTGGAAATAGAAAATCTGCCTGTCTAAAAGCAGAGGGACAAGTCCTGCCTCCAGCAATGTGTGCACCTGGTGGGCAGGGGGAGGCTGTGCCTGCACTAACATGTAAGCATGGGTGAACTGATGCTTGGCCTCGTTCAGCCAATTCAGGAAGGATGTAAGCTTCACTAGAGATTCACATACACCTAAAGTGAGGCACGTACCTGGGTCTGATGGTGTCATGGGCATCTGCAGGCTGGTTTCTGTGCTTGTGCCAAATCTCACAGCTCATCATGCAGTTCTGCAGGGCGCTGTTTGCACACCTAGCCCCTTCACTGAGTTCCTGCAAGCTTCTAGAGAACCGTCGCCTTCAGATATCTCCTCCATCTGAAAGCATCTCAGGATACTGCTGCCTCAGGTAATGCTGCTGTAAGTATCCCAGATGGGTAAAACCCAGAAAAGTTTGAGAAAAAAATCATTTTATTTTCCTCACACTTACTTCTTGCATTTATAGCACTTTGCTTATCATCAGAATAACTGGAAGTTGTTTTTTTTTTGCTCTTTATGCTATTTCAACATGGGAGAGAGAGGAAAACACTTTTAAAACACAGATTATCTTTATAAAAGTTCCATAAAATTCCAGGGAATACAGGAAAAATAGATGCTGTGTTGACTTTTGTTTCCTTGGCTAAACGTTCAAGTGAGAAGAAAAAGAAGTGTTAGAGAACATTTAGGAATGAAATTAATCTTATCCTTAAATATTTGCAGTCCTGAGAGCTTGCGTCTTAGTTGTCCACAATGACCAAAATGGAGATTTTTGGCAAAACCTCCAGCTGCTTTAGTTTAGTGGGAATTTGCCTGTTTTGGGGAGCTGTATCCACGTTATCAGCATTTTTTTTTACCATCCCTAGGGTCTTATATGCAGAATTACTTATTGATTTATAAAATCTGGTTCTTTATGCACACGTCTGCATCAAATTGTACTAAATGTCTCCTGGCCACGAAGAGCATAGTTATAAAAATGCTTTTTACTTAATGTCATTAAATATGAGGTATTTCCCAGATGTGGTTTAGAAGGTGTTACATTTTACATACCTACTTTAATACTTTTTTTAAAAGTTAAGGAAAAGTATTGTGTGACAAAGCCAATTGCAAGTCAGGACTAGATTTGTCCATTATCATTAAAGAATCTGCATTTTTTAAGTGAGCTTTAGAATAACATTGTTGATTCTGTCATGATGTAAGCATATGATATTTGCCAAGAGCTGTATTTCATAAGGCTGGTTTAGGATAGAGCCCAGCTCATAAGAATCTTGATAGGAGATTTTTCCTTTCAGTAACTTTCATAATGTAATTACACTCATGTGATGATTATGAATTTAATACTGCAGGGAATGAAGTCAACGTTAAAATCCCATTATTTAAAATTAGGCAGGAGCACACCCATGTTAGTGTAGCCAGAAAATACTTGTGCATATAACAATACATCCACACTGATGGGAATGTTTCTTCACAAATAGACACAAAATCAGAGTGTCCCTGTACTGCTGATGAAACTTTCCCTGTTGTATTCCACTGGGAGCTGTTAGCAGTGCTGTGTGACATCCAGAGAGAAGGCACGTTTAGCACAACAGCAAGCACTCTGGTGAGTTTAAAGTTTCATTCTGCAGTTAGGAGCATTTTCGAATCAAATAAGTAGTTTCTAGGTGATGCTGAGCCAAACCAAAAGAGATTACTCCATCAGTGTAGTTTTATGTTCTGCTTTCCTCTACTTGATGACGTGGAGTCTTTCTAGCAGGTGGTCTCAAGGCAAACTCTGAGGAAAAAAAGAGCAAGCATTCTGATTTTGGTCACTTCTTTTGGCTTCATTTTACCTCTAATATGAACAAAAATGCTTGTGGAGGATCAGGCATGCCCATAGAAGTGGCCCAGGCACTGGGCACAGCCATCCCACACGACTCGTTTGGAGCCGTGTGCCTGTGCCAGCCCCTCATAGGTATGGTGGCTGTGTCTGCCCTCGGTCTGCCAGGGATGTTTTTAATAGCATGCTCATTATACAGAAATATTTTCATTTGACAGACAATTTAAATGATCCCCTAAAAGCTGCAATTACCATCAGGACAAATCCAGCTCTGATTGACTCCCACGTTAGCTCCCAAAGTTTGACTCCCAAATAAGAGACAAGATTTTACTCTTTCTTCTTCTTTGTTACATAAGCTCTTTCACCAATATCTGTCTCCCATGTTAATGCACTGAAGAACATCTCAAAATCCTGCTGTCTTAATCTACCCCAAAAACTACTTCTGAAATAAGAAGCACTATTATCTTCACTTTACCAAGGAGGGACTGCAGAACAGAGAAAACCACTGCTTTGTCTAAAACAAGACAGGTAGGCAACCTCTAGAGAAGCAGGGAGAGGAAAGTAGGTCTTACATAGAATTCTCTTTCTGAAGGTCCAACAGTCCTAAAGAAAACATCTTTTCACTGCCTAAATGGGTCAGGAAAGGAAGCCTGATGTCAAAATACTATTAAAAGGGCAACTTGGAAGTTAGGACATTTGGTTACACAGCCAACTCTGAAAATATTTCCTTTTGCCAAGTCTTCTGTTTTGTCTTGTTACTCTGTATGTCAGTAGCTTGTTTGCATCTTGCTGCTTATATAGCCTGTTTGTAAGTGTTTCTTGTGATTCAGGGAAGAAATTAGTTATTTGGATCATCTGGTCACCTGGTCACCAAATGCAACAGGTCCTCTTGGGCACTCAGACAAGCTGGCTTTTGAGCTCAGCTGGACACCAGGAGGCACCCAGGCTCCCCCAGAAAGGTTCTCTACAGGTTGGGTGTTTCCAGTTTCTGAATGTGTAACGATAGATAGAAATTTTACATCTCAAATTAGTTATTAATGCTTTTCTCAGAGCTAAAACATATTACCAATGTTTTGCTGGTATGTGCTAGCGCTCTTTAATGACACTAATGATGTAATAACTGTTAACATTATTTATCTTAGAAGACTGCAAAGTGTCTCACCACACCATCCTATTAATCAGGGAAGAGGCCTAATCCCAACACAAACATGTCAGGGGAATGGCCAGGGTGGAGGTGTAGCTGGAGATTAAAAGGAAAGGCTGCTCCTTTTTAGGAAGGAAAGGAAGGTCTCCAGAGTCTTGCCCCTGCATGGGGTGGCCTCTGTGCTACAAGTGGGTTTGCTCCATTCCCCGCACCTGGGCAAGACTCTGCTCACTTCATTTCAGGTGTGTTTGGAGACACTTTCACAGCACACTTTCAGGTGTGTTTGTGCTGGAATCCTCAGCCTGGCCTACTTTTATAGTTAATGGCAGCACAGAGGGAAACGTCTGACATCTAACATCTGACAATGTAATTCAGCTCATCTAAAACACAAAACAGTTTTTCTTTGTATATTGCATATGAGATACATGACATACGTATTTCTTCTCTGGATCTGTCAGCTGAATACTGGTAGTTAGAAAAGAAGAACCTGCATTTTTTTTTTTGCCTGATTACTGTGAAGGAAGCACCTAGGCAAATGCAAGAGATGGAGATTTCAAACCAATTAATCTGGATGAAGACTCAGTAGAAATATTCTTGCTCAATTTTTTTTATCTGTGGTTTAGTCCAAGAGATTTTGAAGTAGATCGTTTTTATTTCAAAAAAGAGAGCAGACAAAACCCACAAATGAAAATACAAAACCCCAACTCTTACACAGCTCCTAATTTTCTCCTAAATTTCTTGTCTCAAAACATCTGTTGCTTTTTTTCCATTATGAAATGTTACATTAGGCCCCTCACCTTAGAGTCCTCTCTCCTTCTTCAGAGCAAAGGAGCAGCAAAATTTGTATGGATAATGTTACTGGCTGTGAAAATTAACAGCTTCATTAAGTTTTCATTAAAGGCAGGGCTAACGAGATCCTTTTGGACTACTTTCTGCCACTGTGGTGTTGGAGACTGTTTCAAAACGGACACCTGAGCTGTCCTGTTTCTTTTTGCTGTTTATATCCTAAATGTTCCAGCACCTGATTAACATTTGCTTTATATGAAGCAGATCACCATTTTTTCAATCAGAAACTTTCCAGGAGGGGGATGTCCTTAGTGTCTAACTACCATGGAGCTTATTAGCTTGTCATTTGGCAAGGAGCTGATGGTCGAGCCAGCCGGCAGTGCAGCACAGCATTTGCTGAGAACAACTCTACTTGTGTATTCCTGCCTTCACATCCCTGGTGGATGCTGCAGGGCTTGCTGGAACAAGGGAGGAAAGCTCATGCTGGTTGTACAAAAATTTGGAGTTGATATATTGTGTTTGAATAAGATTGCATTAGTTAGCCATCTTCCTAGGAGAAAAGACAGGTCTTGATGGATGGGACCTACCCAATGGCATCAACCTTTCCCATGTGATGGAAGCTTCACGGGCCATCCTGCTTTGCCTTGGCACACAGCCAGCACTGAAAGCAATTGCTCACAGCACGAGTGCAAAGGTGATATGAGTCAGGGGATTCAAGTGAAACCACTTGTTAAATTCTGTATGACCTTTTCCTTGATTTGCAATAGGGAAGTTGTATTGCCCTGGGAAGACTAGAAGAGGACAAGGCTGCGTCTTTCTTTAGGTATTAGTTGTTCCGCATTTCTAACATTTTGAAAAATATACTGCAGTGTTTTCATGAGCATATTCATGGTCTTATTTTGCATCCCACTTTCCCAATAAGATGCATTTTATTAGAGAAATCTGATATAAATTATCATAGTCCTGCCATTTGGTAGGTTTGCTAAATCACAAAGCCAGGATAAGATGTTCTAAATAAAACAGAAATAGAGAGAAATTGCCATTCCTTTTCAATATTTCTATTACAACTGAAAATGAAAATGGGTTTTGAGGACTGCCTGCTTTCAGGGTATGATGTTCTGATTTCTGGTCAGGATACGATCACGCCTAAATTCAGCATCCTGCACAAGTCTGTGCAGGCACCCAGCGCTGAGCGCCCAGGAACACGACAGATGCCTCACAAGAAGCCAGGCTCCTCGTCCTTGCACAATGGCTTCTGCCTTTTCTTAAGAAAATCATTTCTCATTGTTGGCTTTTGGAAATAAAGCAGATGTCCCAACAACTTCTCCAGATTTTTCAAAATTGGGATGATAAATTTCCCGGTGACATTTAGATATTTTAAAAGAAAACGAATGTTTCAGGACACGATGAGAAGAAAACCATGACACTGCCACCTGGTGGATTCCGAGATAATATCTACATCGTATCATACCATCGTTATTTGGGTATTGGCATAAATGTGTGTGGCACGTCGTGGTCAACTAATAGCTCATTTCTTTCCCGCAGAAAATATAGCATATAAAAATATAGATTTTTATAAACTAAGACATTCAGTTTAACTAACAATATAGATAGGAATCTTGCTATGATTTGTGTTAAGCACCTGCATCAGTTAAGCTCTTAGCACATTCTGTCTTAAAGCACGTTAGCAGTGCTTTAAAAGCAATATTAGTCCAAACGTTACTCACTCAGTTCCACTTTACCACCCCTGAAAGCTAATGCTATCTTGAGAAGTAGTGATCCTTGTAAATTGTGCTTGGGAATAAATTTGAAGTTCCTTGAAGGCTGTTAATACAAGGATTAAAGGACTTGTTCACATGTAGTTGTAAGTTGTAATTTAAACTGAATTCCGTAACTCACCTCTAAGAAAGTCTGTGATATATGCATCTTTCAAATCTTTTCTGCTCTGGTGTGTTGACGTGCAAATAACACGGACCAAGAAATTCCCTATTGTATTGGAGTGAGTGAATTAAGAAAAAGGAAAAAAACCCAGAGCGATCTCCTTTTTCCTGAAGGATCTGAACCACTTCATCAGCTCATCATCAGTTACTAACTAATGAATCATAGCACAAGCAGAAAAATCCACAAAATACGTTGTAGCAACTTCAGTGTCCACACAAGGTGTTTTGAGTTTGCAGGGAACTGAACCAGGATGTCAAAATCCTGTACCTGTAGGAGCCAGGGTTTGAAGGAGTGCTTCTCACAGAACATTGATGCGATGCAATATGAAGCATGAGCCCATTCTGAAATCAGCTGTAGCAAGACAGTGATATCAATATTTGTATCAAGACAGCTCGCCTCTTTAGGGGAATGAAAAAATAGCCCTTTTGCCTGTTTCAAAATGAGATATGGAGGCGTTTGTGAAAAGAGAACTGTTGATGTGCACAAAGATGAACCAGAAGCTAAGGGCCTTAAATAAACAATTCCTGAAGACTTGCTTAGTACTAAAATGGGAAAACAGACTCCATCACTGGCATAAAATCCATTGTGGTTCACATTTAAGCCTAGACAGTGATTCATACTGTTGCACTAGACTCAGCATGCTGCAAAAGGCACTCAAAATAATTAACACATAGAATTAAACTACTTAGATTTCACATCATCAAACATTTAACTTTCCGTAATTCCCTCTGCAGCTGTGATTTATTTGCATTTATTATTTTGCCTATTTACCACTTCTCTGTTGCTTTTTAACTCGCTCATACTTCCTTCTTCTGTAAGCCTGAACACTGGCTCATTGTTTTTGTTTTTAGCTCTTGCATCTTACTCATACTCACACTTCTGATGGCTAGTTAAAAAAATGCATTGCATCAAATATGGTCCTCAAATTGCTGAAAAGAGTTTTCTGTTTATTTATTTTAATCGTTGATGTAGCCTTACTTGGTATTCATAACATGCTTACTCATTACTGCAGTTTGATTGTTTAATACTGGCAAGAATGTCTCTAAATATTTTTTTCTATTTTGCTCACAAAAAATATTAATTTTGTTTTGATTAGGTTTAAGAAAAAACACACATGAAGAGGAAGTCTCATTATGTCTGAAAGCTTCTATCAAGAAATACAGATCAGAGTCCTCAATATGACAAAGTCAGTGAATTTCTGGAGACAAAGACCCAACAGATAACTTGAGAAACATGGACATATGAAATATTAAAAAACCAGCCTTGACAAAAATGCACTTTGAAGGTAATATTACACTGCAAAAGCTCAGAAAATATTTATAAACAGAGCAATGAAAGAGATCCGAAGATAGACGCTGATTACGTGTGTAAAAAAAAGACTGCATTGGGTCAGGACAAAAATGCAGAAAACCTGTCAAAATCTGACAATCATCCACAGCATATGTTTGGGGAAGAAGCATACGGACAAGGCAAACAAGTAAGAATGTTTTCCCTAGTTTTGCTGCCCAGACTTCCTGAGCCATCTGTTGATTCCCCAGGCATTTGTTCCTGATGGATGCTTTCTCCATGACTTTTTCTTATCTCTCTCTGTATTTTTGACACTTCTTGCCATCAATGAGTTCTACTGTTTAACTAGAATCTACATGAAAAGAGCCCATATTCTCCTATTTTAATCCCTCTGCCTCTTTATTTCATTTGATCTTTTCTCAATTCCTTCATTCTGAGAAATAATGAACAACTCTGTTCGTATTTTTTTTTATACTTACACTTATTTGTGCTGCTTCTATTTTGCCCTCATTGTCCTTTCTCTAGGCTGGTAAATCCCAGCTGATTTAGTCTCTTTTTTGAACATCATCCTTGCCATTGTATTCAAAACCTCTTCTACAGAACTATTCTACCATGTTTTAGTGACAGTCCCAGAAATCCTTGACAACAGGTATTTTCAGAATTAATAAGCTTTCCCCAATGATACAATATTTCAAATTTCAAGGACATGCAGGTTACCCTTACAGGATGTTTTTATTTCAGTTTCAGAGAAAGAGTTGGTCTCTCAGGTCTCAGCACACAAATTAATGCACGCTGGGTGTGAACTGCACTCTCACATGTGCGTAATTGTTTCTTCATTGTTTTTACAATTTGTTGCATGGATCTGGCTGCATAATTCCTTGCCCTGTACTTTCTCAGTCAATTTGGGGAGAATCTGTTTATCCCTCAAGGGAAATTATGGGAAAGTACTGGCAGGCTACCAGCTTTTCTTGAATTAGTCAGCACCTTCACAGCAAAATACGAGTGTGAAGAAAACAGGGGTTTAACTGTAGCCTGCAGTGGGATAATTTATTTACTCTCAAGGCACCACCATAACAGGGTAAAAAACTTTTTGTTGTTTGTATGTGTATAGCAGAGCTATCATCTGGGTAAGAGTTTTGGTTTATTCTGCTGTGCAAAATATTTTGGCAAAGATTTTTGCAACATTTTTGAAAACGCTGCTGTTATTACTCGATGTTTGGTGCTTGGTATTTCTCAGATTAGTAACAGTAAGAAGGTTGTTCAGAGAACACTTGTTCACTTGTTATAGAACATGGAGTAAAGACAGAAAGAGCTGGTCAAAATCACCATTCACAGGCAGAATCAGAAGAAACCAAATGCTTGGGTCTTCCTTCTGTTTACACTCACCAGTGCTGTTAAGCTGCCATAGACCCCCAATTTTGTTGATGAGCTGTTTTTCATAGAGCTCATCACCTCAGAATTCAAAACATAAAGCTCAAGCTCCTGTAATTGCTGAAAATGAGATTCACCTCACCTAATTTTAAGAGTGTGAAAGCCTGGTATGTAATGTAAACTAGTGAAATCCTATCAGTAGTCAGTGAAAGATGGATGGATCCATCTTGAGAGCACCCACTCTGTCCATTTTAGATTTCACTTTCCTCGTGCCCTCAGCAGCTCATACAACAGCTGTAGTGTTGACATTTTAGAAAGTTAGAGTTTGTTGCCAGTTCAATTCCATCATGAGTACTATTGTAGAATAATATTCAGAAAGAAAACAATGTTATTTTAAAGGGACAGGGCTGCTTCCACAAAGAAAAAGCCTGAGGGAAAACCTGAGACAACCTTGCCAATCATATTCCTCTCAAGACATCTGGAGTGAGCTCTTTACTGTGCTCCTGAGCTGATATACACAACCCAGGAGTGGGAGGACAGTCATAACTGTTATCAAGCCACTGCCCAGTGCAGATTGTGGTTGTGGTGTTTGAATTATACTTGTGGAACCTATGAACTCAGCCTTCAAAAAGGTCCAAGCAAGAAAGATGTAAATTAAAATGGTAAGTCAGCAGCGATTCTCAGAGAGCAGATATTAAACATAGTGCTTGGCTCTTACTGTCCTGCAGCTTCAGCCTTCTCTCAGCATCTTTCAGAATCAGAGCTTACTTCCCAGAGGCAAGGTGTGTGAACGTTTGGGCACGTGCTCGAAGTTCAGAGGCAGGATGAGGTGAGGTCAGTGAGAAGCACCCCCATAAAGCTCCAGCTCTTTGCCTTCCTTATCTTCCCCTGGGGCACGCCTTACCTACCAGCCAGTAGACTGGGACTGGAATACTCAGAAGCTGTGTGGCTGTGCTTTAGGCTGGGGCTTTGTGAGGGCTCTGTACAGCTGACCTTGCCTCAAGACATCTGCTCTCAGTGTCCAGCTCTGCTAGACAGAAAGTAGCTGGTGAATGCAGTGCTTCACATAAACTGAAGAAACTGCCATCCTACTTCAGGCACTGGAAAGATGCTATAAAAGTCTGTTTGGAGGCAGGCTGACACCATAAATTCCAGAAAAAAACTGGATAGGGTAAAATTACAGAAACTAACAAAATAAATAGAAGTCTGCAGGCAAAAGTGAAAGCCAAAGCCAAGTGAAATAAATTCGATGTGAATCTTAAAACTATAATTGACTATTTGAAGAGATGCAATGCTTCTGATGAAACAGTAAGGGCTTCTATGATTAGACAACCATATAAGCCGTGTATTGCAGGGCTTGATAACCATTTTTTCTTTTTATGTTGGAGACAACTAGGCTTTAAACAACAGTATTTTGGAGAAATCTCAGAGTTTAAAATCATTTTGGAAGTGGGTTAGAAAAAGATTTCAACATCTTGCTTGTTTACCACAGACAAGTCTTGTCAGTTTAACAAGAACTTTTGTTCCTTTTTCTTTGAAACAACACCAACAGGCCTGCACATAGGTATTCCTTTAGAGGTTCGCAGAGGGTGTTGTAAGACATTGCTTGGGACCAGAAGGAACACTTTCATCATGTTTACATGCCAGTGTTTCTCTGCTTGAAATCATCTTTATGCTTTGATCTCCAAATCTATAAACATATACTTGTTTCTCTGATGGAATTTATTTCACTGGATCATTGCTTATGCAACCTGGTTTTGTTTGAATATGAGGGCTAGAGGGGCTGTCATATAGGTACATAATCAAATCCTGCAATTATTTTCTGTTGGCTATTTGTATAACTAATGTTCTGATTACTTTTCAGCTGTAAGGATGCAACTATGTTCACAGATAAGATTTGTCTGCTGTTGTTTATCCTATCTTCACTGAAGCACTGTTTTTGTTACTGAGAGAAATGCAAGAGAGGAGCACATTATAGCATTCATAGCATTCAAAAGGTAAGATATTTGAGTTATTTATACCTTTGAAACAAGGAGGGGTTGTTTCAAATTTTACTCCCTGAAGCAATGTCACTGTAAGTATGATTTTTTCTCTCTTTCTGAAGAACATAATTACATCCTCTGTAATACTGTTGCACTGATGACCTGCAGTACTCAGGCAGAACTATGCCTCAGAGCAGAGGGGTGTCCCGTCTGGAAGTGCTCAAGGGAGATGTGAGAAGGTACAAGGTGTGACTGGTTCTGTGGTATGGACACGTTCACTGGGAACTGGGCTCTTGTAATGGTTTTGGAAAGCAGCAGGTGGTGGATAGTTATACCCAGAACTGAACCATTTCATGTTTACACAGTTCTATGACTAGTGTTCTCAGCAATAAGGAACTGCTGTTCTTGTAATAAGCTTCATCATGAACTTTGAAATGAGTAGGAACCATTAGGACTTTGACTTGGTATAGCTCATCTTCCTTAGTTCTGTTGTTGTCAGTATTCAGCATAATTAAGTTAAAACAAGTTTGGAAACATCCCTTGAGTCTTAGAACGACTTCTAGAGAGGACAATGGAGATGTGCCCTGTGCTTATAACATCACCAAGACACTCAGAATTAATGTATTCCCTTTTCTCAGGAGTTACTTAATTTTTTTTTTATTTTAATGTGATCACATACATATAAAAGGAGTTTTAGGAGGACACAGTTTGATTTTGTACTGTGATAGTAGATATTTCAGTGCTGCACCCAAAAGTAAATATTTTTGTGTTTTTACCCAGACCTTCTGTTTTTTTTCTGGCATGTCTCTGTTAGCTTGGATAATTCTCAAGAGAAAGGATAAGACAGTAGTCAACCATATCATCAGAAAGAAGCAGATTGCAGGTGGTCCTCCAGAGAATCCTGGCAAGGGAGCTGGCAGAGATCTAACCATTAGATCTGACCTGTATTGCTACCTTCCAGGTTGTCTCATCCCTGGCTCCCTGACTTCTTGCCTGCCATTCTGAACCTTTCAGAACGTTCAAGACAACATTACACACGATGTGCACTCACTGCTTCCTTGCTTTCTCATAGACATCCAACACCAAATGGGTGGAGACATCAGGGCCATCACACCCACCCTCCAGAAGTGGCTAGCCTGCTTGGTAAGGGGTGTGATACGCTACTAAGGCATCTCCTTGTATTGGGTAGACTGGAGCTTCCTACCTTTGAGATGGTTTGAATTTTCTGCTCTAATCTCTACCTATGAAGAACATGTCCCAAATGTACTGAAGTGAAATGAAATGAAATAGTGTAGTTGTTCAACACTACGTAAGAAATGCATGGAGTAATAAGAGCTTACACTCTGAAGCTAAGAATTGGCTCAGAGATGGATAAAAATCACCATGATGTATTCCTGTTGTTTTCAGTCAAGATAAATTCTTCTGCTTATTCACAGACTATTTTAAAATCTACCTTTACTTTTCTTCTTCTACCAGTTTTATTCAAATGTAAATCTGTTGACTTTAGCAGAGTTCTGATATTTGTCTCATTTCCTCAGTGTATTTTTCCAGTCTTATGCATGACTTTTCCTTCTGAAACACCCAACCCACCAAGGTCTACGATATACAAACTGAAGCACCTTCAAATTGCTGAATGGAGGCTGAGGGGGCATTACTGTACACTGACTTTGTCTTAGTCCCTTTTGTAGGCCTCTGCTGTCAGATGGAATATTGAACTGGGTGTACCCATCTACGTGCACGGGGAACTATTTATTGTATTCTTCTGATTGCTACTCTACAGTTAGAGTATTGAAATCCTCTTTTAAGGGGACTAACACACGGAGCTATTTTTAGAGCTCAGAAATAAAAACACGAATAAAAAAATTCAGCATGATTAATAATTGTTTGTTTTCTTTTTAAAAAAAGGCTGTTGACCAAGTTAAAAAAATGAAGAACTGTGAAAACTACACCCTTGTTCCTCTACTCTACAATGACATACGGCTAAACGCAAAAAAGAAGAATGGTCAGTCTTTTACATATAAAAAAAAGGAGTGTTCCTACTGGATTTATCACAGCAATACTCCTGTAGTGAGCCAGAAATCATAGAGGCATCTATGATTAGAAAATCATATAAGAAATTTTGCTTCTAGAAAGAGAATGCTTAAGGTTGCTGCAAAAACAAAGAAGAAAGCTTGTATTCATACTGTGCTACCATAGCCTTGGATGAACACTTGGGTCTTCAATTTTAGCAGAGTCAAATACTACAGCGCTTAGAAGCAGAAAAGCAAATATTTGCACTTAGAATCAATGCTTTTATTCTTGTATCACTGCATGTCTGCTGGTATATTTTCAAGTACAGTGTCAGAAATGAGATAAACCTGGCAGTTTGGGATGCTGAAAGGAAGAAAAGTGCAACTTCATGGTACCGTCTGGTGTCTGAAAGCCTGAAAAGCTTGGTGATGACAAGAGCTGGGATAATCCCATTTCATTTCTCATGAACAGCTTAGAGAGATTTCTTTCTCTTTTTTTTTTTTTTTTTTTTTGGAGAGCAGTGAGGGTGGAACCTGTGGAATCACTGTGATCGAAAGTATCCTCAGATGGGGGAGAAGCAAGAGAGCCTTTCTTTCAATTATGCAGCAATGTAGTTGTTACAGTAGCAGGGGCAGAGATTGTCACTGTCACGGGAAAATACGGCTGGCAACAGAGTGTTGATCTGGTTGCATGTGGCTTGCAGCTTTACTTCAGCTTACAGAAAAAGACCACTGTCATCACAGAGAGCTGCAGATAGGTGTTTAAAATGAAAATAAGGCATCCCCATTAATGGTGTATTCTGGTGTCTTTATCACAGCATGGTTTCTGTAACGTTTTCAATTATCTTGTCAGTCCTCAATGGTGGGCAAGGACACAACATTCTTGGTACCAGAATGGAACAATGTTACTCTTTAAGTGAAAGATGTGTGTGCAAAAGTTGAGTGTTGTCAAAATCTAGGTGGTTCTGGTATTCTCATCTGCAGAAATGTGGAAAGGCAGGATTGTTTTAAAACGTATCTTCAAATTCAAATGATTTGAGAGATTAATTCAGGAGCCAGTTAAATTCAGTCCTTGCTGTAAGGTAGTAATTGGAGGCAGAGCTTTCCCACACAGCAGAAATCAGATTAAGCATCCTGCTACTTGGTTTTTGTGCATGTCTATTTAACCTAGTGCAAAATGTCCTTGCAGTTGTATCCATTTGGTTGTGGCCACCAAATGATGAATAGTAGCTATATGGCAGCCTGCTTGGCCTTTGGCTGTTTTTCTAAGTCTCCAAGACAAATTTGGCCATCACAGTAGAAGAGCAGCTACACCCAAGTAAACAGTCTGATTCAGAGTTTCTTTCCCTTGGCTAAATGAAATGTGCACAGGAGAGTCAGCAACCCCCAGTTTGAAGAACACAGGATTCACAAGTAGCAGCCTATTGCAGAAATGCACTGCTTTGCTGAGGGAGGACTTTTTTCTTCCGAGCTGTAATAGCCTTTCTCAAAGCATGACATTTGTTCACCCTTTCAGGGCTGGCAATGATGAAGGTCCTGGTCTCCAAAGACGTTCTGAGCTTTCCCATCATCCTGATGGCTGTGTCCTCTCCCAGGCCCAAAGAATTGTCCTAGGTGCACAGCACATCAGGGTCTCCCAGGGAACGCTGTGTGACAGCCTGCAAGCTGCCCCTTGTTGCCACTAGCCAGGGTTGAGGCTGCTGCTGCACTTCTGTGAAACAATGGGCTCAGCCATATTTCACTGTCAGTGTGGTGACAAATGTCGGCCTCCTGAGACTCCCAGACATATGTAACTTGGCTGGCACTCAATGGCAAAGGTCATGAGTTGTCGTCTTGCATCTCCAAGTTCAATGAGATGGTTTTGTGCTGTGTTAGTCTCTGTGTATTAAGTTTCAGCAAAGAGAGGGTGGTGGAGGAGGAAAGAGATTCTTATCTGGAGTTAGGTGATGTTAAATGTTCTGAATAATTAGATAAGATTGTGTGTGCCAAACAGACTGTGTTTTCTGATAAGACGTCTCTGGTTCCCTCTGCCTCCCTGCCCTCCAGGACATGCATGCATGCACACACCCGCACATTTTAAGCGGTTTCAGGGCTCATTAAGTAAGCTGGGCTGATAGCTGTAGAAAATGTCATTCGTTCTCAGTGGGGCAGCGAATCCATGTTCTGTGCATTTTTGGTAGTCTCAAAAAGTAGCTAAAGTAGGTGAAAATTCACTTTCCATAGTTGATCTTTTTATTTTCAGTTTGGACTTTTTGAAGTCTGACTGAGCAGTACACATTGTCTGGGCATAAGCCCAGTGTAAGCTGCAGCAGCTCAGTTTGCTTTCAAAGCTCCTATTGAATTTCTGAAGAGGTGTGTGAATTTTATTGGGAACAGGTATGTAAGGATGCACACAATATCTCCCTGGCCTCCATCTGAAAGGAGTCTGGACCAAATATGAATCATGTTGGAAAATATGATGTGAAGACATAATTGTGCAAGGGTCTCCATTTGGACGCAGCTCCTTCTGAGGCTGGATAAGCCAGGAAGAGGACTGATTTTACACATTCTTCCCAAGGCCAAGTCCACCCTCATTTAGCTGCTCCTAAAAGAAAGAAAACATCTTCCTCAGTAAAGTGGCATTTTGAATGTTTCTCTCCATACCCTCTCACTTCCCTCACTGCTGTCACTGTTAATAATATGGGATCTATAGTAGTTTATCAGACAGAATGACTGTAAGCTCTAGAAGCAAACATATGACAGAGGTGGAAATGCCACGGAAATCACAGGAAGATCATAGATAGATAGAATCATACAGTGGTGTGGGTTGAAAAAGACCACAATCATAATCTAGTTTCAACCCCCCTGCTATGTGCAGGGTCACCAACCACCAGACCAGGCTGCCCATCCAGCCTGGCCATGAATGCCTCCAGGGATGGGGCATCCACAGCCTCCTTGGGCAACCTGTTCTACTGCGTCACCACCCTCTGAGTGAAAAACTTCCTCCTAATATCTAACCTAAACCTCCTCTGTCTCAGTTTAAAACCATTTTCCCTTGTCCTATCACTATCCACCTTTGTAAACAGCCATTCCGCCTCCTGTTTATATGCTTCCTTCAAGTACTGGAAGGCTGCAATGAGGTCTCCCCAGAGCCTTCTCGTCTCCAAGCTAAACAAGCCCAGTTCCCTCAACCTTTCCTCATAGCAGAGGTGCTCCAGCCCTCTGATCATCTTAGTGGCCCTCCTCCGAACCCACTCCAAGAGCTCCACATCCTTCCTGTACTCAGGGCCCCAGACCTGGACGCAGTACAGCAGATGGGGACTCACAAGAGCCGAGTAGAGGTGGACAATCACCTCCCTCTCCCTGCTGGCCCCCCCTTTTTTAATGCAGCCCAGAACACCGTTGGCCTTCCAGGCTGCAAGCATACACTGCTGGCTCATGTCCAGCTTCTTGTCCACCAGGACCCCCAAGTCCTTCTCTGCAGGGCTGCTCTCAAGGAAATCTTCCCCCAGTTTGTATAAATACCTGGGATTGCCCTGACCCAAGTGCAGCACCCTGTGCTTGGCCTTACTGAACCTCATTAGTTTTTCATGCGCCAACTTCTCCAGCCTGTCCAGGTTCCTCTGGATGGCTTCCCTTCTTTCCGATGTATTGACAGCACTGCTCAGCTTGGTGTCATTGGCAAACTTGCTGAGGGTGCACTCGATGCCATCGTCTGTGTTACTGATAAAGATGTTGAAGAGCTGGCTGGCTCCAAGACTGACCCCTGAGAGACACTGCTTGTGACCAGCCTCCACCCTGACACAGAATCATTGTTCACAACACTTTGGCTGCATCCGGCCAGCCAATTCCTAATCCATCCAACAGTCCATCCTTCAAATCCACATCACTTCAATTTAGAGAGAAGGATGTGGTGAGGGACCATATCAAAGGCCTTGCAGAAGTCCAGAGAGATGACATCCATCGCCCTTCCCTTGTCCACCAAAGCCATCACTCATCATAAAAGGCCAACAGATTGGTCAGGCACGATCTGGCCTTGGTGAAGCCATGCTGGCTGTCTTGAATCACCTCTTTGTCTTGTATGTGCCTTAACATAGCTTCTAGGAGGATCTGCTCCATGATCTTCCCAGGCACAGATTGAAGCTCACCAGCCTGTATTTCCTTTTCTCACTGGTCTTCCTTTCTCCCTTTCTTAAAAACAGGAGTAATGCTTCCCTTTTTCCAATCACTGGGGACTTTACTGTACAGCCATGATTTTTCAAATACGATGGAGAGTGGCTTCGCAACCACATCAGTCATCTCTTTCAGAACTCTAGGATGGACAACATCTGGCCCCATGGACTTATACACATTCAATTTCATGAGGAAGTCTTGGACTTGTTCCACTGTTACAGTGGGATAGAAACCACTCCCTACACGCTCTCCTAGAGGCTCAGGGTCCTGGCAGATATGGGAAGATAGTTTGGTTGAGGGATATTTTAAAAAGTGCCACCACTTGAGAGTGCTGCCAGGCTTAGAGGACCGTGGCTTCACTTTTAAAATTCATTACAGGCCAGTAGAACTGCTGTCGGTAAAAGCTAGCAAAAATATCTAGGGGTGGACTTGCCATCACTCTTTCTGGACAGATACTTTCTATAGCTGAATAGAAGGACTGTCCTCTGTGCCATACTCTCTGCAGAAGAAAACCTCGTAGATTGTAGAGGAACTGTGTGGAGTGATAATCTGAGCGTGGTTCTTACATGATGTTGGTACCAGGTCCAAGCAAGGAGGCTGTGCGCTGCCTTCCAGTGGAGGTGTTTGCTGATGCTACCACCAGCAATGAGGGGATACTGTCTCTTGAGCACTCTCATGGCAGCTTACTTCTCACACATACACTTG